GATAAAATATAATATACTTTGGACTAATAATAATGAAAAGTATTAATAGTTACTACTCGACATAAAATAACTATTGTATCAATGATTATATTCTTATTATTGCAAATACATGCAGGGTACGAGTGCCGAGCAAATAATTATTGTACTTAGTAACAAGTTGTACTAAATGCCTGATGATAAAATACGATTAATAAACATTAATTATTTTTTAAAATTATAATAAATGATATTTTAATACCCTTGTTATTACTCAACCCATATTTATTTTCTTTTTACATAACTTTCTGTCTTTTTAACTTCCTTTAATTACAAATACAAATTCCGTTAATTACAAATTCAGTTAATTACAATAAATTATCCTATTTAAGAAATAAGTTTTTTATAATATTATTGGATTCGAACAAAAAACATTTACTAATCATCACCATCAAGCCATTGTGTTAAAAAATCATAAGATTGTTTGGATTGAGCAATTAGTAACTTTATTCGATAGAGTGGCCAAGAGCCAAGTAACAATATAAATAATACTGTAACAATAAAAATGAAATAATACTATTTTAATTTTTTTTTTATTTTTGTAATTTTTGTTTTCCAAATTTGAATGTTTTAAAAATCTTATCGGTAAACTAGCCGATTAATGCACGTAATGCTAAATAATTTTAAAAAGCTAAAAATTTTTAAGTTTGTACCAATCGAATTTAACATCTGCAGGAGCATGTGTCGATCGTTTCATTTATCTTTACATAGCTCACCATTATTTTTTTATAATTAAAATTATTGTAAAATAGGAATGTATCAGCAAATTTAAGTAAACCCTTACATATTGAAAAGTATCCAAGATTGTATTTATGTAATCGATCTAGTCCGAATGGAATTTTTTTTTTTTTGTTTTTCTTATGAGGCAATGAATTTCGTGGAATACGGGTTCAAATTAAACCGAAATATGATTCCTTTACATGTAACATACGTTAATAAAAAATTATTTTTTTTTTTTAAAAAAAAAAATAAAGAATAATTATGGATTATGAAAATAATTCTAGAAAAATTTATCATACTATACAATTATAATTTAAATAAGATTACTAATAATTAAAATAGAGTAGTTTCAAAAAGTTGCTAAATCAATTATCATTTTATTCTATGTGAATGTTTTCGAACGGTACTAGAACTTCTAACTTCTATTAAATTCTTGGCTGAGGCTAACGCTAAATGCTAAATATACTAACGTAAACTTTGAAAGTTTTTTAAAGGTGACGTTCTTGGCTCTAATTGCGATGATCATCTGTTTGTTAAATTCAGCCATCTGCAAAACACAGTTGTGCGACTTGTTTCGGAATAAATTTTCAGATCTTTTGGATTTTTGTGCGTGTAACCATATCATAGATAGATTTGATATCAAATTTTCACACACGTGAGCCAAGAGAAAGAATTATGTAAAAGTAAAAGATAAGGAGATGAAAAAATGAAAAAAGGGGAATCGCGTTTACTTTGACGCAAAACAATTCTAAACGCGGTATTATTGTAGTAATTATGCATAAACAAATCTTTCTTTCTTTTTTTTATTCGTTCGCAAGCAATTAAAATTCTTCAAAACATTACATACGCCAAGGATATGTCCAGATAATTTATTGGTTATCATTGAAAGGTTTTTACCTTAATTTCGAATGCACTAATAATTATATATTTATATTCAAAATTTCAAATTATGCAAATGACTTTACCGATTTGGTAACATACGAGTTTTAATTATTTTATTTTTAAATTAAAAATTATATTGATGAATTTTTATATAAATATGATGCTTTTTTCCTTTCAGTTTATTTCAAGTCAGCTTAATATCTTGAAAAGAAAAAAACAAATAAAATAGAAATATATTATCCCAATACCATTTAGAAATATTTCGCTCAAAATCTCGTAAAATGAAGATCTCTTACACTCTAATTTTGGCTATAAATTTAGCCCTTTTCACTGCTAGTTCCGTTGCTACACCAATTGGAAACATAGGAAATGGTGTTATTATTTCTCCACCTCCCCCTCCTGATGGTCCCAAAGGTGGACCAAAAGGACTAAAAGGTAGAGATTTCGATGGCCCAAAAGTCCCCAAGGGTAAAGGTCCAAAAGGTCCAGGTCCTAAAGATGGACCAAAAGGTCTAAAGGTTAGAGATTTCGATGGCCCAAAAGTCCCCAAGGGTAAAGATTTCAATGGTCCAAAAGGTCCCGGTCCTAAAATTGGTCCAAAAGGTCTAAAGGTTAGAGATTTCGATGGCCCAAAAGTCCCCAAGGGTAAAGATTTCGATGGCCCAAAAGGTCCCGGTCCTAAAGATGGTCCAAAATTTCCCGGTCCTAAANTAGAGATTTCGATGGCCCAAAAGTCCCCAAAGGTAAAGATTTCGATGGTCCAAAAGGTCCCGGTCCTAAAATTGGTCCAAAAGTTCTAAAAGTTAGAGATTTCGATGGCCCAAAAGTCCCCAAGGGTAAAGATTTCGATGGCCCAAAAGTCCCCAAGGGTAAAGATTTTGATGGCCCAAAAGGTCCCGGTCCTAAAGATGGTCCAAAAGGTCTAAAGGGTAGAGATTTCGATGGCCCAAAAGTCCCCAAGGGTAAAGATTTCGATGGTCCAAAAGGTCCCGGTCCTAAAGATGGTCCAAAATTTCCCCCTAAAGCAAAATAAATGAAATTTTAATCTAAAAAATATTAAAGTTTATAGTATGT